GGCTTAAGCTTCTTAGTGCTGTGCTTTAACCTGCTGCGCCACCAGGGAGGGCCCAGAGGTTTTATTCTTAATAAAAAGATCTGAAGTCAGTATAGCAGAGTGTTAAATTTGTTGAATTGTTATTATACCTATATTTCCTTTATGTTTTTCTGTATGTTTAAAACATTATGTGTTTGCATTTTATCATACTGTTTACACCAACACAGTATTTAACATAGTGCAGTCATCATGGCTGATTATGGGTAAAGGGGTTAGTGCTCCTGAACTCTGGGGATGTACCTGAAGGCCACGCCTCTATAGGAATTGCTTTTTCATTATCTTCCCTTCTAGAAAATGCTGGAAGAACAGCTCATCACCCACGCATCTGGTGAAGTCTGGCGGACCTTCATCTACGGCTTCTATTTCTACAAGATAGTAATGGACAAAGAACCTGATCGAGGTCAGAAATAAGATAAAGGAGACCTGCCCTTTCAGATGATAGTGTTTCTTGAACTCCTTGTGTGTGTGGCTTTGTCTTCTAAGTTGATGTGTGTCAATTTCCTCAAGCATTTATACTTAATTTAAGCATAACCAGAGTGACAAGCATGTCTTAATGTATGTTCTTGGGGAAAACAGAACAGTGATGAAAGATCAGCCTAAAAGAGGCTGAGAGATGTAGTGTGAGAAAATTCTTGTAGGTCAATTTCTTGATAACTGTTTAATGAGCAGCCCCCAGGTGAGATGGCTCTAAGCATACCGTGACAGGCTCTAATAGGTAACGTCAGGGCATTTTTACTTGCTGAGCCTTCAGACTCCATTACTTCCCCTGGAAGGCTTTCAAGTCCTAGTAAGTTTTCCAAGATATATTTTAAGTTTTAAATTTTAATGAGAAAAAGTAATACCCAAGAAGGGAGCAATTGTTGGCATGGTCAGAGCTGACTCACAGTAGCTCTGGAAGAACCAAGGACTCAGACCAGCTTCTCCAGCTTACCCAGACTACTTGGCTGGGAGTACTTCCTGCACACACGTAGCTTCTCAGTCTCTGGGCTCAGGACTCACACACCAGCTGCAGCAGCGGATGCCACTCGCCATGCGCTCTTGTGCAGAAGCGTGTTGAATGAACCTGCGCCGGTTTCCTACCCTGCTGTGTGTGTCCATCGTCACCTCTTCCCTACAGTCCCAAGCCCGACCCAGATACCTCTTGTGCCTTCAAGTTGAAAACGTCTGGCTGCCATTATTGCTTTAAACTTAGGGGCCTGAAACTGGGGGTAAAGTATTTTTAAAAATTGAAGTTCTCATGATATAAAATTAACTATTTTAAAGTGAACAGTTGGGTGACATTTAGTACATTCACATTGTGGTGCAACCACCACCCATGATCACCCAGAAAGGAAAGGCTGTGGCTACCAGCCTTAGTCCCAGGCTCCCTCCCTCCAGCTTCCGGCTGCATCAGTTGCTTTCTATCTGAAGATTGGCCCATTCTGAACATTTCACTTGAGTGGAGTCATACAGTAGGTGTTTGGCTTCTTTACTTAGCATAATGCTTCCGAAGGCCACCCATGTTGTAGTAAGAGTCAGGAAGACAACAAGCTTTGGGCTGAGGGCACCCTCTCTCTCTGCTTCTCTCAGTGGCCATGCAGCAGCCCACCACCTGGCACACAACAGCAGTAGACGACTTCGCCAGCTTCCAGCGCAAGTGGTTTGAGGTGGCTTTTGTGGCCGAAGAGCTCTTGCACTCCGAGATTCCTGCCTTCCTCCTGCCCTGGCTGCCCAGCCGGCCAGCCTCCTACGCAAGCAGGCACAGCTCCTTTAGCCGCAGCTTTGGAGGACGGAGCCAGGCAGCTGCACTCTTAGGTACATGCCTGCTTCAGGTGGGGCCTGGGGTGCGCTTATGGGTGTCAGGGAGAGCGGCAGCCAACCAGGGGAACGATGCCCTGTGAGCCAGGACCACAGCGACTCTTGGCTCTATAGGCCTCTACTGGCTCAGTCGTTCCAGCTTATCTTTGTCCCAGCCAGCAAACAGTACCAAGTCTCAAGTCAGTGCCCTTTGCCAACCCTGCACAGGCAGGAGATAATAAACAATGTGGATACAAGGCATGGAGCATCAGGGCTTGATAACAAAGGCCTTTGGGCACATGATAAAGCAAACAGCAAGCTCCTTCACTTCAGGCCATGGGAGGGCTGAGCAGCCCATGACGGCAGCAGATGAAAGGGAAGGTGGCCTGTGGCTAGTGGAGCAGAAGCCAGTGGCGTGATAGTGAAGGGGAAGTCGCAAAACCTGTTCTAGGTGTTTCAAGCTCGAGAACTGGAAGTGCAGCCTGGTTTGGACGAGACTGCATGCAGGCAGCTTTCAAGAGACCATTTTACTTCATCTTACCCCCTAAATCATGTTCATTTTCTGTAGCCAAGTTCTAAAGGCCACTTTTTCCTTAGAGATAAAAGCGAAGCATGTCCTGTTCTCCAGGAAATACGGAGAAAAACCTAAAAGCCAGGTGCTTTTAGGTGCACATTGAAGAGAGAGTTGAAGAGTCAGCTTCTGTCTCTCTGAGGTTACTTCTGAGCTCATATTGAAACAAATCATCTAAGACACTGTGATCCCAGAGACTGTGGATCACATAAGGTGAGACTTTGTTTATCTGAGAGCTGAAGGAAGCAAAAAAGGTTTCTGCAGAACCCACATAAATGCCACAGTAGTGTCACCTGCTTGTACAGGGGTCTCTCAAGCAGCGCCTCAAGCTGTTTGTTCTTACTGGTTTGCCTCTAGATTCAGTAATACCTACAGCCAAGGCAGAGAATTTGTAGAACCCGATGGCAGCAGATATGCAAACACATTTTAGAAAAATGTTTTACAAACAAATCTGTTATATTTTGACCCTATTAAGGTGGAAGCCAGCTATCAATTAGGTAACTTCTTTTTCTTGAAGTGTTTGATGACCAGGCTTGTTCTCAGTTGGGTCTTCTGCAGGTTTCTCAAGCATCACTCTGCAAATGTTTTGGACAGTTGAGGGGGGCTGTCCTGGTCATGGTAGCACCCCTGCCCTCCCCCTACTGGTTAACAGAGGCATCCCACTGTGTGAGACCACATGTCCCCAGAGGAGCACAAAATTACCCCCAGTCGAGAACCACTGTTTAAAAAGAATTAAAGAATTCCATCAAGGTGCCAAAATTGGAGAGCTCAGCAAAACATGATAAGCTTTGAAGTTGACATAGCATGTGTTGGGTTGAGAAAGAAGATATTTCCAGAGGGTCAGGGTAGAGTGAGTGGCTGGAGCTGGAACTGGCTTAGCCAGTGGCTCTGATTTCTGCTCTGTCCTGCCTGTGGTCTCTTCTGCTCAGCAGGGGTATATATGGTTACTGTGACCTGCCTGATACAGTACAGTAGTGATAACAATTTTATTTTTCTAAGGTTTAATTTATGCATATAGGGCTGGAGTATAGGCCAGAGGTGCAGTGGCTGTGAAAGAATTTATCAGACAGAGTGGGGAGCAGAACATGCAGATCGAGGAAGTGCACTGCTGAACAGAGCAGCGGGCGGGTCAGGAGAGGTCTGCTGCACCATGTGGGTCAGCCCCCTGGCCAGGGATCGAACTCATGCTGAAGCACCTGAGGCTAGGTTAGCTTTGTTGTGCTGCCCTTTAACCCATTGCGCCACCAGGGAGGGTCCCAGTGATAACAACTTTAAATACCAGAGATTTCTAGAACATTCACATGTCAGGCACAGTACCAAGCATACAATTATCTTACTTAGTCTTCAGCTCAGTCCCATAGGATGCTATAGGTTTTGTTGTAGAGTTCACAAATCTGGCTTGGAGCAGTGAAATCATTTGTCCTAGGTTCTGCACCCACCAATTCCTGCATCTGGAGTTTCTTCTTGAGACCACTGGCCCCAGAGCCTGAGCTCTCCAGCCTCAGCAAAACATAGCCCAAGCCTGTCTGGACTTTAGATGGTTTGCTTGATGACTCAGCTCCTGGGTGGCAGCATCCCTACATGATGAGGACACTCAAGTCCTAGCTCCTTGCTGCAAAACTCCAACTCTCTTGACGAAGTGTGGCTTTTTTCCCCTCCTGTGCTTCCATTGTGCTCTCTCCAGTCCCAACTTCAGCAACTTCGGCTTCACCAGGACCCCCAACCATTTGTTTTGCCATCTTTCCAGTCTTTCCCACCTGCCTCCTGTGTTCACTTCTCCCATGGCACTGCTCAGAGCCCTGAGCCTCGTGCCCTGCCCCCTCCCACCTTTAGGCTCCTGTCTCATTAAGATCACCAAAGCAATCAGAAGTAAGTTCCAGATGCCACCTGCCCCCCAGAGCCAAGTCTGCCCTCACTCTCTGTCTTCTTCCCAACTGTGAGTCAGCCACCCCTCACCTACGCAAGGCAGCATCTCCACATTCGCACAGGCCCACCTGTGCAGTCCTCCAGTCTCTGCATCTCTCTGCTAAAGCATCCCCATCAGTTTACAGGCACACACCCTTTCCTGTTGACAGAAGCAAAGCAGAACCCAAGAAAACTCGAGAACAGTCTCTCTACACCCCCTCCGCTAGAGCAGCTCTTCCCAGAATGACCTGGGACTCCCGTGTTGTTCAGTCTAGTGGTTGAACCTCATCTTGGTCTTCCTTGCCTTGTCAGGATCATTTGTCCCACAGGCCTCAACTCCTTTGACCCATCTTCTGCTTGGCTTTTAAGACGTTACTCTCTGAGCTCGCCTCTTCGCATCAGTCTCCTTTCTGGTTTCCCTCAGCATTGCGGCACTGAGGCCTCTGCCTGCACCCCATCCCTGTCCCAAGACATCTCATCCAGTCGACTAGGCTTCATTACCCCCCGAATCTGTTCACTCACAGCCTCCTCTCCATTTCAGTCCATGCCCTCAGCACTGTGAGCCTGCTGGTAGGTGTTACCAAGCCGCCCCCTGACATGGGAGGCTGGTGGTGTTTTGAACCAGTAACCACTTGGCCGAGCAGTACCTCCTTGGGTGTCTTCCGACCAGCATGTTCTGAGCTTGATGTGCCAGATAGGACGAGAAAAGATACACCGAGGCCCCTGCTGGTATTTAGCAAGTGCCTTTTCTTGGAACCAGTGGCACATGGCAAGAATACACAGTTTCCAAGACCAGAGAGCAAAGCTTTCCTCCTGTGACTTGGGCTGTTGAGTGAATCAGGAACACAAGCCAGAGACAGAAACTAGTTTTGGTGAGACTTTCACATCAGAGCTACTAAGTTCTTTAGCACCAGGTGACCCTGACGGCTAAGCAGCTGGGAATGATGGACAGGCCTAAAGTTGAGCATTGTGAGTTTAATCTAGGACGAAGGGATGATAGGGAGAGGAAGGCAGTAAAAGACTTACTAGTAAGAGCAGAAGAAAAATAAGGGGGAGTCCATGACCCCATCTTTCCCCTGACCGTCTCCCCTCTGTGAGCAGCTTGTGAGGTTCTATTTCATGTTGTACAATAAGGCACCTAAACAACAGAGGTGAGACCACATTCTCAGGGCTCAGGCTAGGAAGTGATAGAGCTGAGACCTCCTGACTCCAAACCAAAGGTACTTCCCACTTTGCTGATTGAGAGACTAGGGCACACAGTGGGCTGCTGAGGACTCCTGAGCGCCTCCCAGTCCTGGCTGTAGCTCAAGCCTTGGAGACTGCTGACACAAAAGCCATTTTGATTCTTGTCAGTGATAAAAGCCCTCAGGGCTTCTACCTGCAGATCCCAGAACGAAACTCACTGCTTTAGATAAAAAAATGCCTCTGGACTCATGGCGGGGGAGGATGAGAAGCTTGTAGTAGTCTGAGAAACTGATTTTGGCTAGGCCCAGCGGGCTGGGCTCTGCCCTTTATTCCTGAGCCTGTTTTAAGCCTTTGGTCTGGTCAGGAAGTTGATTGTGTGACCCATCTCTAAAACATCCCAATTTGGGGTGAGTAGGATTTCTGAGCATGAGTCCCAGATGGGATGAGCTAGTTAAAACTGACCTAGAATCCTTGAGTGACACACAGGTGATGGAACAGAGCGTTGCTCTTCACTGTGAGGTTGTGAGGTTAGGCTGGGGCACCTACAGTTGGCGAAACCGGCACTGACACATCATTCTCACCTGACTTCATGGCTTACATTCGAGTTCACTCGGTGTTGTACATTTTGTGGGTTTTGACAAAGGTATAAGTGACGTGTACACTCCACTTGCAGTGTCATGCAGAGAAATTGCACTGTCTGACTGCTTTTTTACTGTAGTGGCACAGCTGAGTAGCAGAAACAGAGACCATAAACCTGCAAGCCCTAAACTATTCATTACCTGGTCCTTTACAGAAAAAGCTAGCCAACTAGATGATGCCAGGAAACTTTGAGAATCTGCGATTTTTCTGTAGGTGATTATGTATTTTCTAGCTGTAGGCTTAGTTGTTTGTTCTTCCTCTTCCTCCCACTACATCTCTTCCCTCTCTTGCTGCCCCTCCTGGGTGCTGACTTAGCTGCCACCGTCCCAGAGCAAAGGACTGTAACCTTGGATGTCGACGTGAACAACCGCACAGACAGGCTGGAGTGGTGCAGCTGTTACTACCATGGCAACTTCTCCCTGAGTGCAGCCTTTGAGATCAAGCTTCACTGGATGGCAGTGACCGCTGCAGTGCTCTTTGAGATGGTGAGAACCTCATAACTGTGGTTGGGGCCCGGGCACCCCTTGCAGAAGGACACAGTGGTGCTTAGTAGCGATTCATGTCACTTTTTATAATTCTGGCCTCTGTTATCTTTTTCCTGTCTCTTGAGATAATCTCTAGAAAATTTTAAACATAGCAAAAACATCCAAATAGTCAGAAAGGGCATAGGTCAGGGTTTCTGAACCTTGGTATTAGTGACATCTGAGGCCAGATAATTCTGTTGTGGGCCTGTCCCGGGAGATCATAGGATGTTGGGCAATATCCTGGGTCTTACTCACTCCACAGCCCCCTTGAGACAACCAAAAATGTCTCCAGCTATTGCCACATGTCCCCAGGGAGGGGGAGTGTTGCCCCCGATTGAAAATCACTGGTTTAGGATAAAAGTAAGTCTCTCTTCCTAACCTTAACCCTCGTCCTTAGAATTTCTATCTAAAAGCACCTACTTCATTGATTATACTTCTGGAGAGATTGTATACATATGCACTGCCCAGTTACCTTTAAAAAAAAAAGTGTGGCAGGTTGGGGTACACACTGTTTATATTCTGTCTATCCTATTACCTCTTTGTCTTCAGTGCCAGCATACAAACAAGTTTGCCACTTCATTGTTAGTTTTTGTTTTGCTTCATTGTTTCTACGGGTTGTGGAATATTCTCTTATTTGTTTATACCACAGCTGACTTAACCCAGTCCCCTGTTAATGAACAGTCAGTGATTATAACTCTAGTCGCAACTGGGCTGAGGGGAGATTTCCACCCCATAGATGTCTTTAGCAATATCTGGAACCATTTTTACTTTCCACAAATGCGGGCACAGGGGTGCTATTTATGTCTAATGGGTCAAGAACAGGGATGGTTCCCCATATCCCACAGTGAGTAGCACAAGACAGCTCTGTAACAACGAAAGAGATAGCCCCACATGGCATAAGGGCTAAATCTGACAATCCTTCTTTAACTGGTCTTCTGCCCATCTTTCCTCCTCCTAACCCTACCCTGTACCTGTCTCCAGTCAGCTCATGCATCCTGCACTAGGAGGCCAGCCTGGTTGCCCCACCTCCCGAGAGTCAGAGCCTGTAGAATAAACACGCCTTAGCCTACTGTCAGTATCTTCCAGCTCTCTTTAACCATTTTAGCAGTCTGCTACTCTTTTTATACTCTCCCCTTCAGCCAAAAAGACTGCTTTCCTTGGCTTCAGTGAGTCTCAGTCCCCTCAAACATGAGCCCAAGCATCTCATCACACAGCTGAGAGCAGCTGGAAAGTTCAAAGCTTACAGAAAGCCTGGAGATGATCACAGAAATGAACACAGCATTGGTTGACAACATGTAGTTGGGCGGGGGGCTTTTCTTTTTTGGCTTTGTGGGGTTTTTTTTTTTTCACTCCAGGACTCATAGGCCCAGACTTGTCCCACAAAACATGGTCTCCTAGGGCAAAGACTTGTCCAGGTCTCTGCCCAGCCCCAGTCTGCCTCACACAGTATTGGCACCTTTGAGGCAAGACATGCACTAGGGAAGCATCCATGAGGCCCAAACCAAAAAAGATGCCAAGTCCTGCTTGGCTTGCCGGGGGTATCAGCTCTTGTTCAGCTGGTTGGGATAAATATTATGTAAAATAAGATTGGTTGAGAGAAATGATTTTGATCAGAGATTTTGGTGTTTTGGTCGTTGTTATGAGTATTCCTGAGAGGAGAACTGAGTGGCCCCCTTCAGCTTTTAACCTAGTCATATTTGTTGAAGTCAAGAAAGGGCCTAAACTGTATTTTTGAAATAACATTTGATACAAGTAGCATATGCCAGAGTCACATACATGGGCTTTTAATATGTGTGTGTGTTTCATGACTTAAAAAGTATCTTAAGACCTAGAAAATTCCCACTGTTGATGAAGAAAATGTTTGTCTTCATACTCCACTAACTTGTTCTCGGTCAGTCTTCGGCGGAACAGCTTTTGGGAGTGTGCCAGAGGTCGACTCATCCTGTCAGGTCAGGGCTTATCGCTCTTGGCCAGAGGCCACCACAGTCATCTTGCATTCTTGCGTCATGGCCCTCCCAGCCAGCCTGAGTGGATTGTTTTCCTCTTTGGTACTTCAGACTTAGTAAATTTTTGATAAAGGACAAAATTAGAAGGACTCAGCCTATATCCTGTGACTGTCCTCCAACATCCTATAGGATGAGAAAGGCTTTAGAAGGCAAGAAATAGCCCTTTCCAGTGTCTTTCTTCCAGAAGAAACACTGAAGTTGCAGAAATGCAGGCTGTGAAGAGGAGCATGTGCTTCACTTACAGCTTCTTGATTATCAGTAAGGAGGTTAACTGCATTTTCTCCTGCTCAGGACTGATTTGGAGCCAGTGGACATGAATAAATCAACATTCCAATCAATATGCACACCGCCATGGTGGCGGCTTCCCTTCTTGGGAGTATTTTCTGTTGTCTGGATGAACTTGGAGATGACACTCTTGTTTCTGTGTTTTCCACCAGGTCCAAGGCTGGCATCGAAAAGCCACCTCCTGTGGCTTTTTGTTGGTCCCGGTGTTGGAGGGCCCCTTTGCACTGCCCAGTTACCTGTATGGCGATCCACTTCGAGCCCAGCTCTTCATCCCTCTCAACATCAGCTGCCTGCTCAAGGAAGGCAGCGAGCACCTGTTTGATAGTAAGATACTCTCCTCTGAGGGTTCTGTCTCCACAAGTAAGATCCTCTCCTTCAAGGACACCCCTCTAGGTGCCAGCTGATGCCTTCAGACAGGAGTCCAAAGGTTCTGGGTTCAATCCTGGTTCTTTTCTTAGTGACTGGGCAAGCTACTTAATGTTACTGAACCTCAAAATCCATCATCTTAATGGAGGTGGCTAGGGCTGCCTTGCTAACTCAGCAAGATCCCATAAGGCCTGGAGCAGAATGGTGGGTGGAAAAGGCACGATACTCTGTAAACCACAGGTGACCCTGATGCTCTTTCCCACCCTGCTCTCTGCTGGTCAGGTCTGTGTCAGAATTGGAACCTAATGGGGTTCCAGTTGACAGCCTTGAATCTGCTGTCCCATGCATAAAGGCCAAAAAAGGGAGGCATAGAAAGCCAAACAGGAAACAGTGTCCTGTTGTGCAAAGCTGTGATGTGTCAGCACCTTGTATGTGGCTCAAGTCCCACATCTCAAGGAGGATGGAGCAGGAGGAGGCTCAGGGGAGGGCAGCAGGACCCTGATCAGAGTCCTCCCCCGACACAGGGTTCTCCTCAGAAAAGGGAGCACCCAGAGCCACCCACCCTGCTGCTCCACCCTAATCCACCAGAATTGGGAGGCAGATTTAGGACAGATTGAAGGGCAAGTGTTACTTCACACCGCTCATAGCTTTGCATCACCACATGCACATTGAGGCGAGCACAGAGTAGCTCCCACAAAGCTTGTAGTGAGCTCACAGGTGATCTTTCTTTTTTTTTTAAAGATTTATTGATTTGTGCATTCAGAACCGGAATACAGGCTAGAAGTGCAGGGGCAGTGAGAGGATTCACCAGAGACAATGGGGAGCAGAACAGGCAGATCTACGAAGTACACTGCTGAGGGGAGCAGCAGACCAGACAAGAGAGGTCTGCTGCACCATGTGGGTCACCTCCAGGGCAGGGATCAAACTAGCACTGAAGCAGCTGTGGCTAGCTTGAAGTGCTGTGCTTTAACCCTTTACATCACCAGGGAGGGCCCTCTCAAGTAATATTTCTTAAAATGAAAAGCTAGAGCTGCAGCTGGGATGAGGATCCCGTCATTTCCAGCTAGGAAGATCGTAACTATGAAAGGAATCCCTGTGGATGTAAGAAAGACGCTTTCTTCCCCTGCCCTTGTGACTGCGTCAGGGCTGATAGCAGTGAACCTGTGCTGGGTGAAAGGTCCCACCGGGTCCTGCAGGTCAGGCCAGTGTCCCTGCGCCTTGCCTTCACCACGCTTCTCCCCACCCTCACCACACAACAGCTGTTGTTCCCGAAGCCCACCTGTGTATTCTGTTTCTATCTTAGAAGACATTCCTGTGCAGATGCAGCCTTTTTTAAAGTGACTTGGAGTTCCAGGAGAGCCCCAGGGCTCCTGGTGACCATGGACACCATGGGCCTTAGAGCTCACAAAGTGCTCTACACACGTTCTTGTCTCACCTTACTGTAAGCTAGAGGACTGTTTGTGCAGCTCCAAAATGCCAGTTGGTTATATTCCTATCTGATGATTTAAAGCCAGGCACTGCTGCATATAGCTGTTTTTAATGTTTGAGAGCCAGGGCTATCTTGCCCCACACCAACCAAAGACTCTTCTGGGGTTTTCCACCCTCACTGTAACAGCACAGGATTGTTCATGGGTCTTGCCTCAGAGGGCGTTTTTTATATGAGCTGATGGTTTTCTCTGCCAGTTGTAACCTAGGTTTCAAGCAGCATCCTCTGTTGGTTGCCGTGGTTACAGCTGAAGGAGTCCTAGTTTAAAGGAATAAGGGCTGGAGTCTAAGAATCCATTTTTTTCTGGTCTACCTCTTTTCCTGTTATTTTCCCTTCCAGTAACAATGACTTCAGAACCAGAAATCGGACAAAATGTACCATGTGTTGTGTGCACACACACGTTTTCCTATTAAAGTCAAAGCGTTTTTTCTCTTTTGCTCCAGAACCGTCCAGCCTTTCCTAGATAGAAAACCCCAAATGTGGGAAAGGAACAAGGCCACCACAGCCATCCTGGTCTTGGGGTGTCTTGTCAGCTGCTCCGGCCCTCACACCACAGTCCTGAGAGCGGCCGTTGCCATGTGACAGCTGCCGTAGCTGTCCTGCGTGCTCCCTCGCTCTGGTCCTCACACAGCTGTGCAAGGGAGCGAGGCTGGAGCATGCAGTGGGTGACTGAGGTGGCGGAGGACGTGCTGTCTGCTCAGCTCCCCTCCCTCGCTGTCCACTGTTCCCAAAATCATTTTTTATATTTATTGCTTCAGTTTTCCCATCCCTAAAGTGGATCTTGTAATGCTGCCTTTTCCTTTTGGGTAAATGTAAGATTGGTAATACATTTTTTTATTTTCTCTTCTCCCGAGAAGCAAATAATGTCTATTTTACAGGTTACCTTTGATTTGTACTTTGATGTCACGCTCCTTTCCGCTTTTGGCAGAGGAAGTCATGAGAATGGGCCTTATGTTGAGTTCTCATAGCTCATTCTAATTGCTGAGACCCTGTCAAATTCATCCCCTTTCGAGAGCCCATCGCCAGGACGGGAGGGTGGTGAGAGAGAAGCACAGCGGCTGCCCTCCCTGGAGTGCCCCGAGGGGTGCTGGTCTTCCTGGAGGCCGGCAGTGGGGGATGCACAGCTTGGGCTCTAGGGGCAAGAACTGCCAAGGTAGTGCAGGATACAGAAGGCCGGGCTCAGGAAGAATGACAAACCATGGGACCGCAGCCGACATTGTCCTGATTTCCCTTTCAGGCTTTGAACCGGAAACATACTGGGATCGAATGCACCTTTTCCAGGAAGCCATTGCACACAGGTTTGTCTCTTAGCAAGAGGGATTAGTGGGAAGACACTGGTGTCTTGAGTAGCAGTTACCTGAGCAAAGGCCAGTGAGTTTCATTCCTGGGGAAATGGATCAAGCCCACCAATGGCAGATGTGCTGCTTATCTCCAGCAGTACCCTTTGCCCTGGTTCCAAAGATAAGCACCTCTCAGATTCCTGTAGCTGTTGTTTTCCTGACCTTGTTACCTTCTTCTTTGAGTTGAGGGGAGACCAGAGTGCTCTCTCCTTAGCCTCCAACGAGACCCTGAACAAAGCTATCCGAGAAATGACATGAAATAGGAAACTATAAAATTTGTCAGGAGATCCTTGACATATATTGAAAGACATGTTAAAAATGGTTTGAAAGCAGTCAATATGCCAGTAGATAGCAGATATTGACCTAATATGTGTGCCAGGGAGAGCTTTTGCTAGGCTTAGCTGTCTCCCCTTCCCCCAACACCTGTCTGGCTTTGTCGCTAGAATATCATAACCAGCTGTCCGATGGTTGTGCCAGGCTAATCATGGCTAAGGCTAAGCTCCCATGCTTACTTCAGTAACCCTCTTGCTGCTCTGCCTTCCGTGTCATATCATCTTTTCATGTGTCTTCAGCTCTGCCCCCTACCACCTTCAGCACACACTGAAGTCCAGGCTCTTAGCCACCTCTCACCCAAACTGGTACCAGCCTGCCTTGCACCTTGTCCTGTTGTTGTTTTTTTTCCCTTCATGGACCTAGCTCTGGTGCATAGTAAAAGGTGTGGCAGGAGGGGATGCCAGCCAGCCCAGGGTAGAAGGTAGGGAATGAGCTTGTGGAGGGAGGAGGCATTGAAGGCCTGGTCACCTCCATCTCCACTAGCATCTGGCTGGAGATCTACGAGCAAGCCCCAGAACTGCTTCGCCTTCATTTTCTGCTCCTGCCGGGTCACTGGGAGAGCTCCGAGGTCCCGGCACTTAGCCATCAGGCAGGAGTTTCTATAGGAAGACAGACCCCAGCCAAGTGATGAGGTTATTGGCAGTTTTGTCTGGATTTCGCTCAGGATGTGGCCTTAATTTATCACATCTGCTTTTTTCTTCATAATATCCACTTTAGCCCAGTCATTTTTCTAAATTACTGTCTTTTCTTCGGTCCTTTTTTCAAATTCCTTGCATCTTCTGTATATCACTGCCCTAGACTCTGCTGCGTGCCCCTTCACACCCCACCTCCCCATCCAGAACCCCTCCCACCTTTCCCAATTAGGCCCTCCACCTCCCTACCTATACCCCCATCCTTCACACAGTCACCCCTCCTCCCCTACCCAGGCCCCCTTTCCCTTGTACACCTGTTGTCCTGTTCCACCAGGGAGCCCCAAGTCTCACTGTGAACTTCACTGCTTTCTTCCATATACTGTGACCGTTACACTACACTAACCTGGGCTCCTTAGGGGGCAGAGGTATACATTTTTTTCTTTTGTTTCCTTACCCAAGGCTTAGCAAAGTATGGTCCCCAGAATACTTGCTCACTGTGTAACTTTTCTGTAGGGTGATACTAGAATTGCAGCTCTGAAATGAAGCACTAGCCCGTCTGTGAGTTCCAGCTAAGAATGTGCTAGAAAAGTGGCCAGCACCCAGCACCTCCTTTATTTCCTCTGGGCAGTAGATCCCTCCCCAGACAATGGACCCCTGCCCTCACTGCCACCCTTGCGGAGTTCTCCCGTGTGGACAGCAAGGGGACCAGAGCTCTGTGCTGAAGGGTCTTTTAAAAATAAAAACCTTTCCTGGGGACTTAAGGAAGAACTGAGGCAAGACTTCTGTCAGCTGATCCCTGCTGAGTAAACAAATAGGCTTGACTGGAAAGGAGGCAAAAGCTAGAGCCATTCCTGCACGCGATATGATCAGTGCGTGTTGGCCTGTCCATTTAATGTGCACAGATGGCTTCACGAGTTCTTCAGTAAGTAATAACCAAACACCAGTAGAAAACAAGCAGCTGATATGGAGACATTACCCCGCGCCTCCCACAGGAGCTCAGCCTGGGGATGGAGACAGGCGTTGTCCCCCTTTAATTCTGCCTACATCACGGCCTCATTACATAAAGCGCTCAGACTCAGGCCAGGCACCACATCTGTTAGCACGCCCTTTGCAGCACTTAGCAGGTAGAGCTGTAATAAATGTGCCTTATGGAAATAGAAAAACCAGGAATAGAACAAGCTGTAGATGAGAAACGCAATAGCACAAGTCATAAATGAGGAACGACTCCTGCCCATTTCCAGAACACAGGAAAGCCCGGATTTGTGTTCCTCGCTTCTAAGACAAGGATGTCAATGAGGATACTTCATTCCGTTTCAATTCAGAGCCTTACTTGAGAACCAACTATGTGTTTATCCTGGGAAAACAGTGTGGCTGGAGTGAGACAAGACCCCTCCCCTTGAGTTCTCCCTGTCTCAAGTATGAGGATGGGCGCCCACCCAACTAGGGTGTGAGGTGAAGTCCAGGGAGACAGAAACCCTGCAAGATGGGTCAAGGGATGGCGGTGGTGGGGTGGTCTGACAGGACATCTGGGGGCACAAGAAGGAGGCTTGACTGGCACAAATGAGGCTGGATGAGGATGAGGGCAGCAGGTCAGTGGCCCTTCACCTGCCTTGGGGATGAAAGGAGGCTGGACACGAGGAAACAGGATGAGCCAGTGAAGGGGCTGAGGATGAAAACAAGCAGCCTGAATGTTTCCTCATGAGAGATCGCTTGAGATCATCTCAGGGGAGTCCTGTTAGCCCCACTTGTGCCCCTCGTCCCTGTGGCAGCAGAGGCCCAGTCAGTGTGTCTTCCTGTCCTTCCCTTAGGTTTGGGTTTGTCCAAGATAAATACTCTGCCTCTGCTTTTAACTTCCCTGCTGAGAACAAGCCTCAGTACATCCACGTGACAGGTGAGGAGTGCCACGCAGGGTGGTGGGCAGGTGGGCCCGGGCCCCTGGGGCAGGGGCAGGGCCTGGTCCTGGGCACAGAGGTTCTGCCATTGCCCACGTGTGATGGCAGAGCCACCCAGCCAACCCGGGCGCCCCCCTCCTCTTCAGGAACAGTGTTCCTGCAGCTGCCCTACTCCAAGCGCAAGTTCTCCGGGCAGCAGCGGCGGCGGCGAAACTCCACCAGCTCCACCAGCCAGAACATGTTCTGCGAGGAAAGGGTCGGCTACAACTGGGCCTACAACACCATGCTGACCAAAACCTGGCGCTCCAGCGCCACGGGCGACGAGAAGTTCGCCGATCGGCTGCTCAGGGACTTCACAGACTTCTGCATCAACCGCGACAACCGCCTGGTCTCATTCTGGACCAGTTGCTTGGAGAAGATGCATGCCAGCGCCCCGTGAGCCCAGCCTAGGCAGGGCCAGGTCAGAGGGCGGGCGGGTGTGGTCTCACTATTGATATTCAATAGGTTCAGTCAGAGTCTGGCGTCAGTTTGCCACTGTTGGTGAGAGAGGCTGTTGCTGCTGCTGCTCCCCACACAAGTGTTCTTCCATTGGGAGAGAAAGACTTGGGAAACTGGGAGTGCCCAGGGCAGGTGGGAGGCCCAGGTGGTCCGTGGGAGGGCTTCAGTATGGGGGAGGGGACATGCAGCCCCCTGAATGTCCTCAGAGGCGGCGGCTCCTATGAGCATCCCTTCCCGCCACCATCCAAGGAGGTGGAGCAGAATCTGCCGCTTCCTGACCAGAAGTGTGCACAGGATGTAAGATAATTTTGTGAAATAATGTACCATAGGCCCACAGCAACCTGTACATACCTGTATATAGCAGAAGTAGGAGTAAAGTGCCATGGGCAACCTCTCTGTCCTCAGCCTGGTTCCTGGCAGCAACAGCCCCATCCTCAGCTGGGCAGTCAAGTCCCTCGGCTGGGACTGTAGTGACAAGAAGGAGAGCTGCAGACAGTGAGGAGGACTCCAGGATTCCATGTCTGCCTGTGAGTGCCCGGCAAGGTGTCTTTCCACAGGCCCCTGGAGGAGCGTGGAGAGCGTGGTCAGCACCGGTGAGCAGGCAGTACAGCACGCTGGCAAACGGCCGTCTTGTGCAGGCAGAGGTGAAGCTCGCCAAGGGAGCGAGCCCAGCTGTGGCATGCAGACGTGGTGTGGGGAAAGAACTGCAAGGAAAACCTTGTTGACTCTGAGGTTTAGCACCGACTCCTTAACCAGACGAGACAGCACAGTGCCTCCACTTCAGTGCCCTGCCATGACCTCCTGGGGGATATCAACCCCGCTTCCCCCTCTGTCACCACACAGAGCTAATGAAAAGCCCTGTCAGCGTCCCTCCGCAGCAGCGAACCCACCCACGTCTCCCTAGGCCCTCAGCTGCCATCTGAGCTTAGCCTCCTTCATCTTTGTTGTCTTCTTCATCCGACATGGCTAGGAGAGCCTTCGACTCGTCTCTGCTTTTTCTTCAGGCGGTCAGAATTTTTTTGAAAAACTGCTCTGATGGTGCCCAAGTCTCAGAAGGCACCTTTTCATGTTGAGAAATGAGAGGATTAAGGCCCAGACGTGTGCCTTAGGGCCCCCGGTGCAGGTGGAGATGAGTGTAGCTGGCCCAATAAGACAGGAGCCTTAAAGCAGAGGGCTTCGTGGGGTCTGGCCCTCCTCCTCTCTACCCCGCATACGGCAACAGGCTGAGCCGCCTGCCTCCGGTCTAGGTAGAGCCCGAATGAGGACCCAGACCTCTGGCTCCCAGCCCAGAGCCTCCACGTCTTCATCTCTAGAGTGAGCTGGTAATGACCCCTCCTGGGTCATGAGCCGCACAGGAGAGAAAATGGGTAAAGAGCTTAATGCATGGATGTAGTGTCCCCCTAAATATTAGTCATTGTGATGACACTGCCCTAAACTCCAAACCCCGGGAGTTTAGAGAAGGGAGTCATCAGAGGACTGGAGTGGACAAGGTAACAGAGTAGACTGGAGTCTTGTGGGGTTAGTGGGAGCTGACCAATGCAGGCCCAGGGCTCCCCGCCAGCTCCGCTCCCCACCAACCGTGCCAGGCCTGGAGGGCTGTAATCTAACTGACTACACTGTGTTCTTTTGCCTTATCTGGGTCTCAAGAACACCTCCTGGAGGTATTTTCTTTACCCCCCATTAGTTTCTCCTTTTTGCTTGGCAGAGTGGCACATTGCCAAGAGCTGGGGTGGGGGCAGCTCTGCCCCTCGCCCCTCTGCCTGCGGCCCACGTTCCTGGCTCTCATGAGTAGGGCGCCTGTTGCCTGGGAAGGGCTGGGCAGCCCTGGGGTACCTTTGAGCTTTGTGGTTGTGCTTGAGGCTGCACACAGGTCCTGGTACGCCAGGCACAGCACCAGTCATCCTCCTGGACAGAGAAATGAACCTGGGGTGAAGGGCCACGCAGGATAGCCTGATGGGAGCAGAAACAGGATAGACTAATGCCTTCCTTTACGAAAGGAACTTGAAGTTAACTGGAAAATGTGAAAGCAGAAGTGGTAGCCTCTTCGTCCCTTGCTGTAATTCTCTGGTGCTCCGGTAAGAACTCGCTTAAATCACCTCTTCCAGGCCTCTCCCCTTTCCACCCCCTGACTCCCACACGCACACCAAGATTCTGACTCAGGAGTCCTGGGACTTTGCACTGTAAATAGACACTCGGTGATTCTGCTCTCAGTGGTCCATTGGAGAAACCCTGTCCCAGGTTCCTTCTCTGGATTTGTTCCTGCTTGCTTTACCTGGAAATGTGATTCCCAGACCAGAGCAGAGGGGAAGCTGCCCACTGGAAGGGCCACAAGGCAGAGGCAGAGCGTGGGAGATAACAGCACCATGGCAGCGAGGTCACCAGGCCACCAAAGGCTGGACAGCTGGACTGGCAACTGCCAAGTACTGTGTTGGGTAAGCATAGAGGGCCCAGTCTCATCTGGGGACCTTTCAGAGTCATTAAAACGAGAATCCAGGTGCTACAAGAAAGAACATCATATATGCCTCTGGCGCTAAGGAAAAATCTGTGAGGCATCGCCGGAGGGATAGGAAATTGCGGCAGAGAAAACCAAATAAAGCCCATTTACAGGCCCCCTAAGTGACCCCCCCCCAGATTTCAGATACATGAAGTAACAATGGTCGCTGCATTTCTTGAGTGGTTCCGTGTTCTGGGCAATGTACCTACTTGACATACCTCATTGCCTCATTGTGTCATCTTACCAAGCACCATCATACCAGCTGAGGGCTGGGGCAGAGGAGACTCCAGGAGGTGGGACCCTTGGCTGATGGGGCTGGGAATCTCTGGGACCCTTGACTGCAGCCTCCGCCCACTGTGCTGCCCCTCACCTGGTGCTGGCTCAGTGAGGCCCCGCCCACTCTGTAAGGATAGAAGGTCTCCTCTGTTCTTTCCAGCTGACTTTTGCCTGTGTGGCACAGATACCGGGCTGCTGTCTGGAAGCCAGTGCCTGCTCCTTCCCCTCTGGCCCATAGCTGGTTTACAAGTGCTTCAGCCGGCTTCCAGCCTTCGCACTTGCCCTAAGCCTGGCCTGGAATGTGTTGGCTGTGGGCACAGCAAGTGCCAGGAATTCAGTCCTACCGGACTGTAGAGTTGAGCTCCGGCTGCCGTGCTGTTTCCTCCATGAATCAGCACATAGTCCCTCCAAGAAGAAAAAGTCTTCCCTGGTTGGGGCAAGGGGAAAGGGGGAGTCACTGTGGGATCCCCTTGCAAACCCTTTCTCATGCTGGTGTTTTCGTCTGAACTCACCTGTGGTGATTCTGAAAGAAACCACAGGGGCCTCAGGTCTCCAACTGATGAGGAAGCTGAGTGCTGGAGGAATGAGGCCTCCAGGCAGCACGTGGCAGTTGTGATTGAATCGAGTCTCTTACCTCCGCGCTGCACTATGAATTATACCGGATTGCTTATCCACGCTCAGTTTCTGCCCTTTAATCCTCAGTGTCTCTTAAGAGACAGAAATTTTTATGTTTAAGCCCATTGCATCCTCGGAAAGAAACATTTTCCTGATTATCTTTGATGTCCATCCAGCCCTGTAGTTCGCATCTAGGCCTACCCCAGCCAGTCAGTGTGACGGGGTGCTGTCTTAGAAAGGGCCCCTTTCCAGGGTGAGACAGCCACCTCTTCTCCAGCTGTGGATCCCCAGAACCTGGGTAGACAGCTGTGATGGAGTTGGCAGGCCTCTGCCAGGGCCAGGCCTGCGCACTTGTGCTGCTGCCGCCTCAAAGCACCTGCCCTTGCCAAGGCCCTGGGTACACTGCTGGGGAAGAACCGGGAGCTAGCTAGGGGTTCCTAACTGGGGCGATTTTGACCCTCGGGGGACATTTGACATTCCTGGATGTCGGTACCCTAGTGGGTGCGTATTAACACCCACAGCACAGGACAAGGGGTTGTCCCTTGCAGCAAAGAGTTACTCAGCCGTGGAATCAGTGGTGTTGAGCTGTGACCCTGAACTAAATTCTGATAAGGTGAGAGGTCTTCCTATGATTGTGGATGAAGAGGAACCTGCCACTTCCCCTGACTGGCACTAATCCTTTCTCAGTGGCACTCCTATCCTCAGCCTCCTTCATAACCATTGTTGTCATGTTCTGAGACCAGAGTGGCTAAGAAACCTGTCTAGGGCCACATAGCAAGTTGTTGACAGAGCCAGGATTAGAGTCCTGGGCGCACTTAGTGCTCACGAGCCACTCTGTACTCTTGTTTCTCCTTCCTTGTGTTACAGGGCAGGGTGAAGAGCACCCCAGAACCCCCAAACCTGCCCAGTCTAAATAGGTTCTACCATCATCTGCATCAAGACAAAACATACTCTAGTGCATAAGACTGTTCATGGAAAGGAACTTCAACATGATTAGCATGCAACAAAGAATAATGCTTTTCAAGTCAAACACCCAAATTTACCCAGCCCCTCATGGGTCAATGTCCAGTCAAACAGAGCCACTGAAGCCCTAAAGTTCACCACAAGGAACCTCGTGGTGGGGACCCATAGGAAAGGGGCAGAAAGGTCCCAACACGACTAAGATAGAAGAACAAAATCAAGCTAAAAGCCGCCGTTGTCAACCTCCCCATGGGTCTCTCACACCGGTTTCACCCAGCCCAGGACCAAGAAGCAGGTGCAGCTTCTGCAGGCGTCTCTGCTCCCAGCGCCTCCTCCAGGGCTCCTCTTCGCCCCCCATCCTGCTTCCTTCCTTCAGCAGGCTCCTTTCCAGCTGCTTCTCCCTGCTCAGCTCCACCTTCCTTGGGTAGGACAGGGAACCTGGAACCCCTTCCTGGGGACCATCCTGTTACACATACATGTAGCTGGCTTTGCTCATTGCATCTAAACTCAAGGGGCGGGGAGCCATCTTGTTCACAAGTGCATCTCTCACGTAGGTGTCAGGTAGAGTCCATCCTTTCAGCAAACATTTTATGTAAAGCTAAACCAGTGAAGGCCCTGCTCTTGACAGAAGCAGACATGCAGGTGCTACAGAAATAGAGGAGGGGGCTTGATTCTGCAGTGGGGAGCAGGGGGGAGATGAGAAAGGGACATGTGGGCTGGGGTTTGAAGGCCATGCAGAAGCTTTGGCAAGTGAGGGAGAGTAGAGTAGGGAAGGGGCATAGGAGTAGGGGTGGCCCAAGGCACCAGACAAATGAGAAAGTGACAGCCTCAAAACCTGGGGAAGAAAAAAAAGCAGTAAAAAACAAAAAACCTGGGGAAGAAAACTGGGAAGGTTTCTCCAAACCTACCACACCCAACCCATCCTTTTTTGGACACTGTTTCCAGAGGGAGGTGACTGTTGTCAAGGTCCAGGACACAGACCAGAATAACAAATTCTCCATTGTCTGGAAGCCCGTGCTAGCTGGGGCCCTTGGGCCATGCCACAGAGAGGGTGACCTTGCCCGCCTGCCAGGCTTTACTCTTCTGGCCCCAATCTGGGTAGAACAGCAGCTTGATGCCCATCCAGGCTCCCTGGCTGACAGGATGGGCTGCTCCCAGAGGGATCCTCTTGCTTTCGTCATCCTCTTTCTCTTCAGGGAGCCAGAAACCCTGCTCTGAGTGGCAGTGACCTTTGTGATCCTGAGCAAGTCTGTTCACCTCACTGGACCGCATGTTTGGGGTGGGGTGATGAGGTTTTCCGTCGCATTCAAGGGGAATCCCATCAGATTTGCAAGAGTCGGGGTGGGAGGAAGAGCACAAAATGCCCCGTCATTTTAAGACCACACTATGAACACTGCCCTAGAGGTCAAGCATTCTGCTCCGAGTGTGCCCGGCAGCTCTGCCAAGGATGAGTCCCAGCAGCTAGCCTGAAGCTCGGGAGGGAGGGGGCGGAACAAGAAAGGTGATGACAAGAGTTGCTTTTATATTGAACCCCAATATAAAACAGCAGCTGGGGTCCTGCCAGGGGCCACGGAGAGCCCCCACTTCCCAGAGGAGAAACTGACTCCTAGGGAAGTAGAGGGACTTCCCCAGGGTTACTGGGCACACGTAAGAGGAAGGACTCGGGGACTCTCCATCCCTTAGGGGCACGTGGGAGGGAGAAACCAGCTGAGTGGCTGCTGTCGCACTCCAGACACCTCCAGGAAGTGGGGAGGGCAGGGCTTGGGGCTGATTTCCCTGACAGCGAGGAGGGGCATGTCCCCAGGCCCTCCGTTGCCTGATGACCAACCTGGCCAGCATTGGCAGCTGTCATGGGGAGGACAGGTGTGTTTGCTGGGTGGTCTGACACAGGATGTGTCTCACCTCAAAGCAGAAGTGAGATGGGGTGTGCTTTCCCTTGGGAGGTGAGAGGCAAGTCTGACTAGCCCAAGGCAGGGGTCTAACAGACTGGGGACAACCAAAACAAGCTGACCTGGTCTGGGGACCTGAGCCGCAGGCTCCGCCCACCACAGGCAGCCCTGCACATTCACATGGGCTTTTAGGGTTTAGGCTCCCATGGACACCCCTCTACCAGGGTCCCATCCTCGCTACAATCACAGGCAGCCATCACTGCAAGAGGGAGACTCATTTGTGGCCTGTTGGCTGCTCTGTTAACACATTTGCCACTGCTCTCCCATCGACGAAGACTTGTTAAGAACCATCTGTGTGCCAGGCTTTGTGCAGATACAGGAGGGGGAAACACTGTAGAGAGAAAAATCACACAAATGACTGTTCTGGTCATGAGGTACAAAGTGTAGTTGTGAAAGGTGCTCCAAGGGCCAAAGACAGGCTGCTGACCATGAGGAGTTGGGCAGGGTCACTGCCGGTCACAGCCTCCAGGAAAGCTCGTGAGCGGTCCAGACTTGCTGGATGGCAGGACTCACCGAGGGGAGCAGGCTCCTGACTGTCACGACGGGGCGGAGCCCGAGCGAGAGTGTGGGCATAGGAAGCTGAGACCTTGCAGGCTACTGAAGGGCCCCTGCCGGGGGTCTCCCAGAGGGCAGGAAGGCAGGCGTTCTTGTCTCATCCTTCCGTCAAGCCCGTGCACGGGTCTGCGCAGGGTTGTTGAAGAGCCCCGAGCTGGAGGACCTGGTGTGCCCGGCTGGGCAGAGGGGCTCAGAAAGTGCAGCCTTTAGCCCACTTGTTGGGACAGAACTGAGCCAGCGAGCCAAGCTCCACCCCAGTTCCCCCTCCAGTGGCTGCAGTCCCTGCCTCCCCATCCGCCCCCCCCAAGACTGCTTGTAGGAAACATGGAGCCAGGAGCTGTCATTGAGCTTGAACACATTGGCCTGCACCCCAGCTTGCTCTCTGCGGAAGCATTTCCCTACTGTCCCCTGCTCTTTGCCAGTCAAAGGAACGCAGCCTGGGGCAAGGGTCCAGCCAGCAGCCCCTGCTGTGACCTGGCCCCCAAAGGCCCCGTTCTTTCTATGATAACCTCGTTTGTGTTTGTGCAGGTGGAGCTGGGCCAGCCGTGGAGTCAGCAGCCTGGGGTTGCCTGGCAGCTGGACCACATTACTCTGAATGGGTCAAGCCACCTCACATTCCCTTTCTTGTGATTCAGGGAAGAAATCTTCCTAAAGGGGAAAGGCATTAGCGTGGCTCACATGTGCTGGGAGCTGTGCGGGTCCTTTGCATGGGACTTGGCTTAGTTCTAGCAACGACCCCTCATGGCAGGTTGCATTTCCCAGAGAAATAACTAGGGATCAGGGTGACCAAGGTGACCCAGCTGACGAGGGGCAGTCTGGATCTCCTGCAGTCACCATCACCTTGCCCTTCCCCCTGCCACTTGGGACCTTTGGGCTGGCTTTGCTGTTCTCCGTCCGCGCCAGCTGATTGTAGGAAGCCCAGAAACCAAGTGGGTGAGCCTGACCTTTGATTTCTCCATCTGGCAAGTGACCCTTGGATTTACTGCTTCTCCTTCGCAAGAATGACACGAGCCACCTCAACCTTGGATACGCCATCCCTATCTCTAGAAATGACACTGAGCCTCATGGGAAGCAAGCAACTTGCCTGAAGTTACAGGCTTGCCCCAAAGAGCTGGGCCCAGCTGGGTCCTTCTTGCACTTCATGGCGCTGCTCTCTGCTTCCCTCCACACCTCTGTCTAGTCTGTACGTGGAAAGACCCCAGTCTGTTCTCTGGACGTTTTACTGCGTCCTATTTCCGGGGCCACCCAGACCTATGACTAATTACCATCTCCATCCTGGGAGCCGCAGTGTGAGACCTCTAACCCCAGCCCCACTCTGCACCCGAGCCTGTCCTTCCAGCTGCGTTCCTGCCCTCCTTTTAGAGATCCAAGAGCAGAACAAACTGAATATATCTCCAACACAACGCTTTATTTGACTGTCTCCCACCCAAACGTGCTCCGCCCACAGCCCGCCTCATCTGAGTCAGCATACTATCAGCTACCCAGTTTTTCAGGCAGAAAGCCTTGGAATTACCCCGTATTTCCTTCTGTCAACCCCCACATTAAACCCATTAGCAGAAATATATTGTCATCTGACTTCTCACCAACTCTGC